CTCACGTTTTTCCCGCCAGCACTCTGAAGAAAAGCTGCACAACTAACATGACTCACTTACAATCCTTTCATTATTCAGGCTAACTCAGTGCGATATTCCTGAGACAATATATGTTGTTGTTACAGCCAATCGTGTCTCATGGCCGTGGAAAGGGTCAAAGAAAATCCTGTTGTCATTATTTTTGAATAATTTATGAGGGTAAGAGCTCAGCAAACAAGCAGGAAAAATCAGTATAGCATGAGCAGTGGAGGTATTGTAGTGTGCATCCCATAAAGTTCATCAGTCCCAGTGTGAGTTAAAGACCTTAAATCAGAAGTTTAAATAAGAAAAGATAATAAGATTAGAGGAAACATTAAATGAGAGCTGGAGACTAACTTCAGAACTTGCCTGAGAATGATCAGGTGTTTAAGTTTCCTTCAGTATCAGAGTAATCCAGTGATAGTCTGTACAGACAGGAGCTGCTGATGGCTAATTCAGTCTACTTTTAATGGTGTTAATTAAAGAAAGTTGCAGCCCACAGCCAATTCACTGACTCTGTCACATTTCACCTCCAGTTTAAATCCCCCCAAACCAGTTGATCAGATAACAGGTATGATATCCCCCAAATAAATGTTGTATTTACCTCGGAAGTCAGACGTCTTAGTGTCCACAGATAGAGACGGACACACTGAGAATGAGCTGTCAATCATAAGGTAGCCCCGCCCTAAAGCATACCCTGCTTTATGGTCTGTTTTACTCTAAATGGGACCATCAGTTACTAAATGAACATCATGCTGTATGGAAGAAGACTGAAACTAGAGACTGAGACCAGAAACTCATCAGGAAACTGTTTACTGAGCTCATACATCAACTTCTCCATAAGACTCAATACTATCAGACTTCTTTATTGCAGCCCCCTGCTGACCATTACATAAAGTGCAGGTTTAAGACACTTCACAGACGCTCTGTCCGTTATATAAACTGTCAGTGGTTGAGTGGAGCAGCCATCATGGATTTAGAGGGTAGGTGAGGTTCCAGTTGAAACAGTTTGATCCCTAAATGTCAAAGTTCAGGTGCATTTCCAGATCTTTCCTACAGCGCCACCTTGGCTCCAGTTGAAGCTGCTGCAACAGTATTTTTTTAATTTTAGGGCTGCAACAAACAATTCCTTTCATTATTGAGGAATCGGACGATTATTTTTATTCTATTATTATTATTATTATTATTATAATTATTATTATTATCTATTATTATTATTATGATTATCTATTATTATTATTATTATTATTATTATTATTATTATCTATTATTATTATTATTATTATCTATTATCTATTATTATTATCTATTATTATTATTATTATTATTATTATCTATTATTATTATTATTATATATTATTATTATTATCTATTATTTTTGTCGACTATCAGTTTAAAGCTGTAAGAGATTAAATTCTCAGCGAATCGTCACATTTGAGGATCTGAAACCAAGAAAATGTTGCAGAAAAAATGCGTTTTGCTTATAAAATGAACCGATTATCAAAATATTTGCAAATTAATTTTCTGCCGATCAACTTATCGATCAATAATATTAACTAATCTTTGTTTTCATGTCTCATTTTTGATTGTAAAATATAACTTAGCCCATTTCCTTCCTTTCTTTTCTGACCCCCGACCCCCTCTATGATATCTGATTGGTCCAAATTGGATTCCCCCCCCCCCCCAGCCTTTACTGCCCCCGAGGGCAATTAGCTAATCAGTGGCTGTTACTGTGTGTGTGTGTGTGTGTGTGTGTGTGTGTGTGTGTGTGTGTGTGTGTGTGTCTGTGTCTGTCGGACAGAAATAGCACCTGATCCTGACAGGAAGCGCAGCGGGATAATGGCATTACCTGGACGACAGCCAATCAGGTGGCAGGTTGCGCTCCGTCCCCCTCTAAGCCAATCAGAGATCACAGAGTGACTCGATCAGGAAATGGAGCGAAAAGTCCCCGAGCTCTGACTGACAGGCAGCGTCTCTCTCTCTCTCTCTCTCTGTGTGTGTGTGTGTGTGTGTGTGTGTGTGTGTGTTCATTGAGGGAAAAGCTTCCTGTGATCGACGTCGAGGATGTTTACATGTTTACTTGGTAAGGTTGTTTTTGTTTTAAGGTATTTAGGTTGAGATTCTTATTGTTTACTTGTTTGTTTATTTATTCTTGTTTGGTTGTTTCTTTAATTGTTTTTGTCATTTATGTGATTTGATTGGCTCAGCGGTCTGGTTGACGGTTTACTGCAGTCAGAACATTAATCTGATCCGAGTTCAATCATTTTATTGTTCTGTGACAGTAAACTGAATATTCTTGAGGTTTTGTTGTTGTTGGTTGGACACAATAAGACATCTGAACCTTGCTTCTCTGGACATGTTTAACAATTTGACACTTTACAGGCGGAACGATTGATCGATTAATGTAGAAAACAATATTAATCAATAACTAATTAGCTGCATTAAACTGCAGGTGACGGGTTATTTAGTTGGTTCTTGTTTG